GGAGTGGCCACTGCACTCTAGTCTGGGCGACAGAGTGAGACTCCAACTCAAAAAAAAAGAGTATATTTGATAATTGTATTAGTATAAAAAAAAAACAATATTATACATGAAAACATTTTTTCTACCTAAAAGTTCTCTTTTTTTCTTCTGATTTTCAAGAACTGAAAATACTTTCTTTTATTTTTATTTTTTTGAGTTGGAGTCTCACTCCGTCGCCCAGGCTGGAGTGCAGTGGCACACTCACAGCCACTCCAGCATCGACCTGCTGGGCTTCGGTGATCCTTCCTCCTCAGCCTGCCAAATAGCCAGAACTACAGGCGCGCACTACTGCACCCAGCTTATTTTTTATCTATTGTAGAGATGAGGTCTCGCCAAGCTGCCTGGACTAGTCTTGAACCTGCGGGCTCCCAAAGTGCTGGGATTACAGACTGAGTCACTGAGCCCGACCAATTTTTAAATTTTTTACGGAAGGAGGGACTGGAAGGCCAAAGTGCCTAGGGCACAGAGAAGTCACGGTGTGGCCCTGCCCATGGCCAGGCTCCAGTAAGCCCCACAGCCATGGTTGAGCCAAGCTGACCACCCTTGGGCACCAAGGCCCTGAGTCCATGGCAGGTACTTTACATGGCCACAGAATCCTAAGATTTTGCCAGTGATCACCACATAGATGCACATGCTCCTCTATAACATACCGCACCCCACACAGGTGCTTATCTGGCCTCTGCTTATTTACTTTTGCTGATGGGGAACTCACTCCCTCCCAAGACCACCCACTGACTGTATTGTCAGCCAGCTGTGTTACTAGAATTTGTGCTGAAACTGATCTCCTAGACGCTAGGTCCACTGGTCCCAAATCTATTCTCTCATGCTGCACAGAACATTCATTCATTTAGCTGCCACCAAGTGCCATTCCCCACCTCAGAGGCCCAGGACACTGAGATGGGGATACACCCATGGAGGCATAGCCCCAGTCTCAGGCAGCTCAGTCCTGGAGGAAAGACACACAGGTCAATAGTTTGATACACATTGCCAAGCAGAGAGAGACTGCACAAGTGCTTGTCTAGCTCCTCTACTTAAGACCTGTGCGACCTCTTCGAGCCTCAGTTTCCTCATCTGTGAAATGGGATAATAATAGCACATACCTCCCATCTCATAGAGTTGATGTGAGAATGAAGTGAATTAATGTATGTGAAGTGCTTAGAATAGGGCCTGGAACAAAGCTCAGTAAATGTTAAGTAGAAGCATTATTACTACAGCACACCAGGGGGTGGGAGCAAAGAGAGCCATCTCAGGAGAGATCAAGGAGGGCTTCCCAGAGGAAGTGATTCAGATTAGACATCAAGACAGAGCAAGAGGAATTCCTCAGGCTGGCAAGGCATGGAGGGATGCTCCAGGGTGAGGGGAAAGGGAAAAGGATTTGTAAAGGCACAGAGGAGGGAAGAGTGGAGGTTAGGGGCTCAGGAGTACAGTTTATTTAGCAGGCTCTTCGTCTCTCCTTGGGCTCCTTGAAGCCTTCGTAGAGGGGTTTTGGGTTCCTTAGAACTTTGCTGGGGGGCAAAGGGGAACTGTATTTGATTGGCTGGCACTGTCACTTCTAATGAGGTGGAGCAGGTTCTGATGTTTGACTTGCGGCTTCTTCCAGGGGATGCCTGGTGGACACCTGAGCATCCGATGGAGGAGAAAGAAGGCTGGGGTTCCCTAAGGAGCAGCTCTGGGCTAGTTCGATAATTGGGGTCAGTCAGGAGTTGGCATATCTCCATTCTAGTCCCAGCTCTGCCCCAACACTTTGTGTTAGCCTGAGCCAGTCCTTGGGTCTCCCTGGGGCCCAGTCTCCCCGTCTGTCCAATGGGAGTTGGCCCGGAGGCTGCCTACGTACTCCCAGGTCTACTTCCTGGAGGTTCTGGCTCAGAACCAGATAGGCTGTAGCTGAGAAGGCTCCCAGGACCCTCTGAGCCTAGTCACCAGTCCCACTCTGAGCAGGCCTGTGTCCTGGCCTCCCCAAATCTACCTCACCCAGCTAGGTCACAGGCAGTGGTTCCCTGAACGGGCAGTCCCAGAGAGGTGGCTCTGAGAGGCCTGTGGCACACAGGCACACACAGCCTGAGTGTGGCCCTGGGCTGGGGAGGAGGTGGGAGGAACAGAGGAGGCCTGTCCTCTGGGCAAGGGGGCCTCTGGACAAGAGCTTCCTGTGTGGTTCTAGGCTGGGGGCCCAGTCTACCTCATGACAGAGAAGCTTTTCATGGGCCTGGCTCTCAGTATGAGGGGAGGCTGGGCATGGAGGCCACTCAGGTGAGGGGTGCCCCAAGGGTCTGCATGGGGCAGGGTGGGGGGAGGGCAGACTTGTGCATGTCCAAGTCAGACAGGGCCTTAAACATCAGATCCCACCGCCTCCCATTTTGCAGATGAGAAAACGGAGGCCCAGAGAAGGCAAGGGCAGTATCTACAGCCACCAAGGGCAGAGGCAGAGCTGCCACCCAGGGCTTCTGCCTTCTAGTCCAACCGTAGACACGGGCTGGTGTGAGGCTTGCATTCGCCAGTGGTGGTGTATGGTCATGCATGTGCATGAATGGGTCTGCATACTGTGAATGTGGGAGTGTGGGGGCTACTGGGGAGCCAGGTGGAGCGAGGGGCGGCTGTGCAGGACCCTCCTCACGTGCCTCCTTAGGGCCCAGCACAGGGAAACGCTGCCCAACGCCACCTTCTGCCTAGTCCCCGGCCGCCGTCCTGAGGCCTCCTGGCGCTTCCTCCAAGCCCTGCAGGTACAAACGTTACTTGAGCATCACTGCCCTCTGTCCCTCACACTCCTGAGCTGGTAGGGTACTCTGGGCCTGGGTCGATAGGAAGGGTCAGTGAGTTGCCCACTTCCTTACTCTGAGGCTCAGGTATGCCTGTGGCCACATCCCCACACCCTCTGCAGAGCAACACCTTGCCCCCTCCAAGAAAACATATTACTCTCCTCTTGGCCCCTTGCCCCCGAGAGCAGCAGCTACTGACTTGGAACTGGGAGGGGGTGAGTATGCTCAGGGTGGGCCTGTATTCCCAGTGACCTCCTTGCTTCCCAGGCTGGCTGCATCCCGGTGCTTCTCAGTCCCCGCTGGGAGCTGCCCTTCTCCGAGGTCATTGACTGGACCAAGGCGGCCATCGTAGCTGACAAGAGGCTCCCATTTCAGGTAGCTCAGGGCCCTGCCTACGGGGTGGGAACCGGATCCAGGAGCCAGGGAGGAACCCAGAATCCTGGTCCCTGGGCTGGCCTCAGTCCTCATTCCTGTCCCCCATCTGGATACTGATGAATTTCTCCCAGCACCAAGCCTACCCTATTGGTCTCCATAGGATCAGATGGAGGTAGAGATTCCTAAGCAAGTCCGGCATCCTCTCCAGCCTGACCTTCCCAATCAGGCGCTTTCCCCGTCTCTACAATGGGATAAGCTAACCCAGATGATTCTCATGGGCCTAGCTCCAATGATCCACGACACTCAAATACCCAATTTAAGGGAAGGCTACAAAACCCCTCAAAATCAGAGTGCTTCCCTGGGGCCTGGAGTAGGAAAACAAAGTGCATGGTGATTTTCCATCTGATAGAACTAATTTTGTCCAGCTCTGACAAGCATATGTGTGAGCCTGCCTTGAATTCCCTGAGAAGTGGGAATGGTGTGGGGCTTCATAATAGCTACTATTTACTTAGTGAGCCTTTACAGTGTACTAAGCACTTAATTCTCATCATCTAATTTAGTCCTTACAACCATCCTGTGAGGGAGGTATTATTATTATCCCCATTTTACAGATGGGGAAACAGATTTGGAGAGGTTAAATAGCTTGACCACAGTCACACAGCTACCAAATGTATTTAAACCCAGCTCTGTGTGACCTTTGAACTGTCAATTGCTATGTCAGCTGGCACTTGGCCAAGGGTGGCTGCTTGCCATGTGGAGAGCTGTGGGGTGATGCTTCTGGTTCCCAGGTCTCCAACCCCAGGCTTCCTTCTCCCAGAGTCACCGAGGGTCTGACAAGAGCCCAGGCCTCCTCCTTCTCTCCCTCTGTACCCCAGGTCCTGGCTGCCCTCCAGGAGATCTCCCCTGCACGGCTCCTTGCCCTACGCCAGCAGACCCAATTTCTGTGGGATGCCTACTTCTCCTCGGTGGAGAAAGTCATCCACACCACTCTGGAGGTGAGGGGACTCACCTGGTCCTTGACTCCTGCCTCATCCCCATCCCCTCTCCATACTCCTCTGCCCTTGTGTTTGTGGAGCCCCCCCCCCTTGAAGATGCTTCTGGAATGAATCTGAGACTTGGCTACAAGATTTCAGACAAGTTTTTTCTCCATTCTTGGCCTCAGTTTCCCCAGTTGTAGAGGGGACAGCTGTGGCGAATAGATTTCAATGTGCCAACTCTAGTAGATCACTGATGGCTGCCTGGGGCACTATGTTGGGAAAGAATGTCATGACCCGTTAGTGACTTCTGCCATGTGTAAGGAAGGAAAGGGAAGCAGCAAGCCTGCTGCCATTTTCCACCTCTGGAACAGCATCTGACTTCCTGCGGACCCCAGGGGTCTGGTGAGGTCATTGCTGCCCACCCCAGAGCCCTGAGGGGAAGATGCAGCCACTCGTTCTGCACAGCCCCTCTTTTATTTCAGATTATTCAGGACCGGATCTTTGGAGCATCTGCTCACCCCTCGCTGCTGTGGAATAGCCCCCCAGGGGCACTGCTGGCCCTACCCACTTTTTCCACGAGCCCTCGGGACTTTCCCTTCTACCACTTGCAACAGGGTATGCCCCAGGGATGGGACCACTTGAAGTCCCCTCGACTCTACCCAAGTCTTCCCAGTCTCATCCATAGAGCTCCACCAAGACTCTCCCTGAGCCCCCAACATCTCTCCTCGCTCCCGGAACCCCCTACTCAGGTCCTTCTCCAAGGGGTTCTGTCCTCTCCCACCCTAATAGCCTGTGTCTCATTTCCCCAGGCTCCCGCCCTGAGGGCAGATTCAGCGCCCTGATCTGGGTAGGGGCCCCAGGCCAGCCCCCCCTGAAGCTCATCCAGGCGGTGGCAGGCTCCCAGCACTGTGCCCAGGTCTGCCTCTTTGCCAGCTGGAGTCCTGGGATCCAGGGTGGGGGTAAGGGAGAGGGCAGGGATTGAAGACATCCAGACTCCAAGGATGACCACCTATTTTGGGGGAAGGCATGGGAAGGATTCCCAAGTGCTCTTGCTGCCCTCCTCTTTAAGTCCCAAGACTCATGTTCCTTCCCCCCCATAGAAATTGATGAAGCCACCTGAAAAGCAAGTATCTCTTGGGAGGATGGAGAAGTAAACATTCATTCATTCCCTCAGCAGTCATTTTCTGAGCACTAGGGCCTGGGATCCATGCTGAGCAGAGAAAAATCAGGAAAGAATTCTGCCCAGGGATTCAGATTCAGTTAGCCTTTCCTGACACCCAGACTATCTGATCTCACTTCCTAAGAAGCCAGAGACTTGAGAGTCCTTACAGAAGAAGGGAGTAGGAAGTTCAGCCAGGGTGCAGGTGGATGACTGCACACACAGGCCATTTGAGCCAGGCTGGGAATGATAAAGAGCCAGAGAAAGAGAATGAAAACCTTAGAGAGAATATGGGAATGGCCATGGAGTTAGGCCCAGTGTAGGGATTACCGTAGCCCACTCTCGAGTGCTAATGCCACAGGCAACTACCTTTGTGGCACCAGAACTTCTGTCTTCCAGAAACCCAGAGGCAAGGACAGGGTTATGGTGAAAGGACTTTGAATTCAACTAAGCCCTCCTATGCGCACATATGCAGCTGCTTTCTCATACTTCCATTCTGAAAGATCCCTCCCGGGCTCTCCTGTTGTCAGACCCCAGACCTCAGGGACACCCCCCTTTCCTCCTAGATCTTGGTTCTCTGGAGCAGTGAGAGGCCACTCCCATCCAGGTGGCCAGAGACAGCAGTGCCCTTGACATTCATTGATGGGCACAGGAAGGTAAGGGAAGAAGAAGGGCATGTAAGGGATGGGCTCATGCTAGGAGCGGGGGAGGGCACGCATGGAGTGTTGTACTTGGGCCTGAAGCAATCACAGCAGGTTTCAACCTCGGGTCTACTAGAAATGACCCTCTTCCTTCCCTGGCCCTTGTAAATTGTGCTTCCAGAGCATTGGGGTTATGCAATGGGGGAAGACAGAGGGATGTGTTGATATTTCAGATGAGGGACAGGGGAGAAACCTGGGATCTTGAGAAAATATGGACAAGGGTCAGCAAATTGGGTCAGGAGGTGGAGGCTTCTGAGAGCCTGGGTAGGTGGAAACCACCTGCTTGCTGTGTGGTTCTGGGCAAGTCCCTTCGTCTCCTAGATCTATTTCTTTCAAATGAAGGATGTTTGACAGCCTCTCCCAGAGTTTATGTGAGTATCTAATGTGACAATGGACAGATCCTGAGATGTTAAAACTGGAAGGCCCCCTAGGGACCAACTGCCCCATTTTACCACAGGGGAAGTGGCAATCCAGAGAGGTCAACTGAGTTGCCCAGGTCCCAGCAGGAGTCCAGGGCAGGCTTGCTGCATTCATGGCCCTTGCTTCTACACACGACCTGAGGACTGACTTACTGAATCTGGGGGGAGCGTTTCACAGCGGAGTTGCCCTTCCCACTTCCCCTGCAGGTCAGCGATCGCTTCTTCCCATACAGCACCATCAGCACCGATGCCATTCTCAGCCTCGATTCCCACAGCAGCCTCTCCACGAATGAGGTGAGGGCTCAATGAGGAGCTCAATGTGGGGTTAGAGCCAGAGGGCTCGGGCAGTCCCTCAGATTCCCAGGGCTGGGGGGACCATAGTTCATGAGGTCCAGCCTCTTGCTTTTGAAGTAACCCTAGCAAGCCAGGCACCCTCCTCTCTAGGAATAACAGACTTTTTTGAGAATAGTGTTTTTGTAGCTCCTAGCGGAGAAAGCTCCCCCTCAGCATCCCCTGGAAGCTTTCTATGCTGTGCTTCTAGCCCACTCCAAGTAATGACTTCCATCTCCTCTCCCCTGGGTCCTGTCCTGGCCCCTCAGCCAGGCTTACCCTCCCTGCACTCTCGTGTTGTTCCCAGTGGTCAGGATGTCCTTTCTCACAGCTCACTTAAATCCCTCTCCAGGTGGACTTTGCCTTTCTGGTATGGCAGAGCTTCCCAGAGAGGATGGTGGGCTTTCTGACGTGGAGCCACTTCTGGGATGAGGCCCAGGGTAGCTGGAGCTACACTGCTGAGAGGACCAACGAATTCTCCATGGTTCTCACCACAGCTGCCTTCTATCATAGGTACAGATGCCCACACTGGAACAGGGGTCAGAGGGCCAGAGACCACCCCCTCCCTGAATCAGGGACAAGGTGGCCTAGACCCCAGGGACCCAGCCAGGTTCAAGGCCCAGATCTACCAGTTACCGGTTGTGTGATTCTGGAAAAGTCTCCTCACTTCTCTTGAGTTTCAGTTTCCTCATCTGTAAAGCGGAATGTATTCATCTCCCAGGACTGGTGCGACCATCAAATAGAGTCTCTGGCACACAGTTGTTCAACAAACGATAGCGAGTGTTATTTTAATTAAAACCATGCAGTGCATAAGGACAGTGTTTGGATTTGGTGGTGGCAGGATGACAAGAGAATGATCTTGATTCTTTATAGATGTGGGTGTGATGGGTTGGGGACCATCTCAGGCCTTCTGGAAGCTGCCTGCAGTGCCCCAGTCTTGGGGGCAGGGACTGATTCTGGTTCCTTAAATGTATTTAAACCAAATTTTAAACACCTCTTGTAGATTACCCAGGAACTCTGTAATTCTCAGTAGAGTGAAGAATAACCTAAAGTCTGCAGGGTAAGGTTGTCTTGGAGGGGGACTCTTGGGAAGCAAGGCTCACCGGGAACACCATCAGCCTGGTTAATCCATAGCCTTATTTTTATTGTGGAGATGAGGCCTCACCAAGTTACCCAGGTTGGTCTTGAACCCCTGGGCTCAGGCAATCCTCTCGTCTCCACCTCCCAAAGTGCTGAGATTGCAGGCTTGAGCCACCATGCCCAGTCTATTCCACAGTCTTCTTGAAGGTGGTCACTGGGTTGCCATGTTTGGTGGCTCTGGCTGCAGCCACCTAAGCCTGGCTCTCTCTGAGTTGAGAGCCCAGAGCCCAGGCGTAGGGGCCCCTCAGAAGCTGTGAGGGAAAGGGCAGGTAGTACACCAGTGGCTGTAGATAAGCAGGGGATCAAAGGGAGAGATGAGGTAAGTCAGAAGGGAGGAGAATGGGGCCTGGTGGTGGGGAACTCTGCTGCAGCCTGTCCCTGTTTGTCCCCCTTGCCTAGGTATTACCACACTCTCTTCACCCACTCCCTGCCCGAGGCTCTGAGGACCCTGGCAGATGAGACACCCAACTGTGTGGACGTCCTGATGAACTTCCTAGTAGCGGCAGTCACCAAGCTGTCCCCTATCAAGGTGCCCTATGGCAAGCGACACCAGGAGGCTGCTCAAGAGGTGAGAGGCGGAGGGGCACAGGTCGGCTTTGGCTGGGGGAGGGAGGCTTCCCTGTCACGGTCTAATCCAAATGTTTCTTGCTGCAGTGGGTGTGCATTTCTCCTCTCCTTCTCAGGCGCCTGGGGGCCCCAGGTCTGGGCCGAAGTCACAACCCTCAGGCCCGGACTGCATCAACCAGATGGTGGCGGCGTTCGGCCACATGCCTCTAGTGTCCTCCCGTCTGCGTCTGGACCCGGTGCTGTTCAAGGACCCGGTGTCGGTGCAGCGCAAGAAATACCGCAGCCTGGAGAAGCCCTAGGAGGGACCGCGGAGACGCCAGTCCTGCTCCCAGAGGGCGTGCGCCGGCAGACCCCAACTGGCCACTCACAGCTAAGACGCCCGGGGGGCGGGGCCTCGCCCCCCTCCCGGCTGGCCGCTCCGGGCGGGGCCCAGGCGCGCCGCGCCGCTCTCTGCCGCCGTGGCCCTGCGTGGGCCCTGCCTGGAACGCCGTTCTCAGCTCCTCTGCCCGGCTGACTTCGGCTTGCCTTTCAGATCCCCGCCTCCTCCAGCGATGAGCCGACACTCATCCCCGCCCCGTTCGGTCCCTTCTGAGTTTTCGCAGCTACATGTTGGCCGCAGTCCTGCCCTGTTTACGCTGCCTTGCGGTGTGTGCATCGCCTGTCCTCTTCCCTCTGCCCTGGCAGGTGCGCCGCAGATATTTGACGAATAGATGGATGGAAGAGACAAAAACTGCGTGCCGGTGGTGGTGGGAGTATGGACAGAGAGTGCATCAAGAGGCAGACCTCCGCCCCCCCCACCCCTCGGGGCTCCTAGTTCAAGAGGAAGACAGCTCCTGCAGACGCCTGGGGTGTCAGGCTCAATCCTTGAGCCCCAACAGAGGGGCAAAGGGGGGCAGGAAGGCTAGGAGTGGGGAGAGGAAAGGGGAATGGGAACGCAGGTGGTCCACCCCCGCCCCGACCTGGGGCCCTTCGCCCAGGCATGGCCGCCCGCCTTGCATTACCGACCTGGACCGCTAGAGGTCAGCACCACACTGCTTTCCATCCTCGAAAGGGCAGTTTTATTTATTTTTTATTTTTTTTTGAGTCGGAGTCTCACTCTGTCGCCCAGACTGGAGTGCAGTGGCCTCTCCCAGCCACTGCAGCCTCGACCTGCTGGGCTCCGGCGATCCTTCCGCCTCAGCCTTCCGAGTAACCAGAACTACAGGCGCACACTACCACGCCCGGCTGATTTTTGATTTATTGTAGAGATGAGGTTTTGCCAAGTTGCCCAGGCGGGTCGCGAAGAAAGGGCAGTTTTAAACATTCACCTAGTCAGAGGGCCGGCACGGGACATGGGGAAGATTAGCGGCGTGAGCAGCCTGAGATCTGAAAACTGGGGAGCAATCTGAATAGCTCCATCCCTTTGGCCTGTACACTGGGAACTTGGTAAAAAGACCATTTCTAGGTGGACTGGGCACGAGCAGGAAGTCCAACTGTCCACCCTGTGAGGGTGGAGTGGGGGAGGGGACGGTAGGTTCTCCTGGGTTCAACCACCGGGAACTGGAATTATCACTTCCGAAATAAAGTGCGTGTCCTTGCCCCCTCACGCTCCAGGCTATAAATACCCTTACAGCAGCTGCTCAGGGGAGGGGCTCA